ACTTAAGTATTTTCTTTTCGAAATTCGGAAGAAAAACCATGAATAGGAACAAAGAAATGAAGGATTTCCATCCCTAATGAGACCTAATTCTCTATCCTTTGATATCTATCACCTATATAATACTCTGATATTAATTCCAAGCATTTTACAGTAGAAAAGGATTTATCAAGAGAAAGTTTCAAAAATGTAATTAACTTAGCAGTAATTAATTCACAGAAATTGCATTGAAGTCTGGAGAGAAGCGATTTTTAAAAAATAAAAATTCAAATGACAGCAATATTAATAAATTCTGCGGTGGAAAGATGCATTTAAATCATTAAAAATAGAATGACAAAAAACAAGTTTTTTACCTCGCACATTTTGTAAAATTGATTTTTATCACTTAAAAAGAGGGAGATAACTCTTCAATGAAGGTCAAGGTCATAAATTAAGACATGTTCCATTCCATGCTAATTGTAATAAATTGAAAATATGTCTAAATGCACTGTGTATTCAACCTTTACACATCTGTTACATGTATGCATTCAAATTCCTTGAATCTGAGGCTATTAGGGATGGAATATCTTAAACCAAATTTTATTAAATAATTTGATTTCCTCCCTATTTACTGAAAATTATTATTAATTTAACAAAAATTTAATCATTTGTTCTCTTTTCAGTATATCCTGGTTATGACACTAAGATATACGGAACATGTAATGCATTTCCTTCCGACATGCATGTTTTAATTTGCACCACTTATCATTGCTTTCTACAAGGTCATATTTAATTACTTTTTCAATGTAAAATTTTTAAAAATGTGTTAACTTGGTTTATTTTTCAAAATCAGATTTTATTTGTGTGATCTCTTTACATTCAAGCTACATGTATATACATTTTGGAATATTTATGGGAGTGAATCAAAAGACGCTGACATATATTCAAGTCATTTGCAGATTCTTATTTTCAATGAAATTGACTTTAAGTTACGGTTTTATTCATTCTCTTAAATATACATGTACTTATAATAGAATAACTTAAATATGAAGGATATGGAGATAATGAACAGCATTCAATATCAAAGTCTATAAAATACAAAATAGGAACAGAGCAAACACGGACTTCACGAAACATCAGAGAATGGATCAGGTGCCAAAAAGTTTTTAGCTTTTTGCAAGGGTTTGTACAGTTCGAGTAAACTTGAAGGAATCGATCTCTCTCTGATCGTGTAGAAGTAAAAACACGCGTTAGGTGTAACCTTATATCCATAATTGCTTAATATCTCATTGTGCTTTGCGTGATGTCTTAATTATACCCCTGCTTGAAAAATGTCTGAGTGTACGTCCATCTGTTCGTCTGGTAGGGTTTGGGGTTCCCATCTCTTATTCGCAACTCCTCTTATACCACTGAATGGAATTTAATGAAACTTTTACAGAATATTTATCATACTTTTACAGAATTTTTGTTGTAAAGTGCCATTGTGCACCTCATATTTTACGTTTTGATTGGACACATATTTTAGGTTTCCCAAAAGGACAACGCCATTCTTTCTATAATATTGAAGGGTTCCCTTCTCTTATTCGCAACTCCTCCTATTCCACTGAAACTTGAGGACCTATAAGCAGTGAGCTCACTAACTGATACCCCGACTCCCATATGGTGATTATAATGGCGAAGTCCATGTTTTGCTCTAGGAGGCCCGAAATAAGTGTTAGATAATAAAAGTAAAAGAGTAGGTTCACAATGGCCTACTGTTAAAAAGAATATGTGAAAAAAATCTTTGAATTTTATTCAGTGGTAAAGGAGGAGCTGGAAGAGATTGTTGACAATATTAACGAAAACGTTAACGCATTTGTTTTAACGGGATTAAACCTGATCACGATATCCTTCACGTGATTATGGCACGTTAAGATCTTATACGGACGCACACGCATGATTCTTCCACGCAAAATGTTATTATTTAGGAATCGATATTTCTGATATACGGCTTTATATTTATTTTAAATTCAAGGAATATTTAATAAATATATTATATCATCGATGAATAAAAAAACGGAAATTATTTCTGGTACTAATATGTAAGATTTTTTTTTATTATTTTAGATAATAAATAATTATTTAGATAATTTTTAAGAAAACAGATTTTTTTTTTTCTATTGTGATTTTAAGCGTGTGACCGTAAAATTTGATTGAATTGGATTTCATAATATGTAGAAATACGATATGGGGAAAAAATCTTTATGCATAATGTCTTAACTTAAAAGTTATATCTATATGTTTTCATTACTTCAAAATGTTTATGAATCTCCCATGAAAAACGACATTGCAAATTATTGTTTTATTTACATTAAAAATTAATTAAAATAAGAACAGGAGATAAACATTGTTAAACAAAACCCCGAAAATCATGCGCGTACGTGCATGTACATTTATACTAAACATTTATGTAATTTTGAAAAATATTTATTTATTTGTAAAAAATTTCTTTTTGATTATTTAAAAATTAAAAAAAAAATCTTACCACAATTAGCAGCAAACAAGAATGATCTTCAGAAAAATAGAGTAAAACATCTTAGTACGGTTTATCAATAAGTTATGCTATTTGACGAGAACATAATATTGTACGACTTACTATATTGCTTGTTTACAAGCGATAGTTAGTTCGTTCCGCACTCAATTATGTAAACTGCACATCATTCCTTTTATTTGGATTAAAAATAAAATATAAACGAAATACTTGTTTCACAGATAACATTCCGATAAAAACTTACAAAAGAAATTTACACGTTTCTAAACGCACGTTCACGCACGATTAAAACCGCAAAGACTAAGATCTGTTACACGCACGATCTCCACGTTAAAACGAACGATCACGAACGAAACACGATTGGTTTGTCAACAATGCAGCCACTGTAAAGGAAGAGTTGCGGATGAGAGATTGGAACCCTTCAATATTAAAGAATGAAAGATAGTGTCCATGTTTTGCTATGGGAAACTCAAATACGTGTCGGATCAAAAAGTAAAATAGGAGGTCAAAATGGCACTATGTTATAAACTTAAAGATTCTGAAAAAGTTTAATAAATTAGAGGATTGTTGATAAGAGATGGGTATCCAAAAGCATAACAGACGGAAGGACGGATGGACATCCCGATCACTATATTCCCTCCCACTTTTCAAGCGGGAGGGGGATATAAAATACGATATTAAAAAAAATCTTTATAGCATAATGTCATTGTGACTTCCCGTCTTACTTTGTGATCTGACATTTATTATGAGTCCTACAGAGCAAAACATGAATTTTGCCATTATAATCATAATTGAACTCAGTGTTCATAGTACCTTTAGTTTATATTTAACAGCAATGAGATTTTGTAAAAATTATTTCGCAAAAAAATGTTTTTGTTCAAATTGAGAGAGAGAGAGAGAGAGAGAGAGAGAGAGAGAGAGAGAGAGAGAGAGAGAGAGAGAGAGAGAGAGAGAGAGAAGAAAAAAGGGAATGAAAGAAAATTAAAAGTTTATTTTTGTTATCTAAAAACTTGAAGTAGTATTTTAATGGAGTGTAAATAAAATTAGAAAAGGTCTTAATTTTTTTTACATTACACAGAAATATGGTATTTTGAGGGTACAAAAGAATTTTATTTATATACGTAATAATATTCCTTTACATGCGTTCCTTAAGTTACAGTATACATGTACCTGTCCAACAGTAATTCAATGTTTTTAAGGACTTGGTGAAACTAACTTAGAAGTATGAAATGTATTTATAACTTATTATAAAAAGTAGTTATAGAATGTTAATTGTATATTAAAAAAAACATTAAAGAGTTTATGAAGCTGCATGTTAGTCATATTTCTTATTCGACAGTCAAAAGTAAATGAGAATTCATTTTGTGTCCATACATAATGGATTTAAAGGTTTCTTGAAAATAACAAAATTTTAATCGTAAAAAGATTGGAACAGAAGCAGGTATTTACTTTGAATACACAATAAATTTAACTTGAACACATTTATTGAAAAAGTCAAAAGGATCGGACACAATTTTAGAAACTTTGATAGTCTTCTGCTTAATAAATAATAAACAATAAATATAGATATTTGAACACATTTCAATAGACAACGTGTAAAGAAAATATTGAAAATTAAAAAAAATATGGTAGCCCATGTTTTTGTTTAAAAGATTATAATAAACAAAAATGAGAACGATGATAATAAATGTTATGGTTAGAACAATTTTCACTTTCACAACAATTTGTTCAGAACAAGTCATCCCATGTTATACCAAAAAATGTCAACTTAAGAACACACGACGTCAAATAAAAAAAAACAAAAAACAATGCCAGTAAAAGATTTCGAGAAATGTTTCGGATATAAAAATGATTTAAAGAACTACGTATCACTATCAATCTCTTTAATTAGTATTTGCCACCATACATTGAAGCCACTTTTTATAAAACTGAAAATATTTTAGCTAATGTGCATATGTCTATTTTTATTTTTATGCCCCCATAATCGAATACCAGTATTCGGAATACATGTACATAGTTTTTGGCCTGTCTTTCCATCTTTTATTTATCTGTTTGTCATTTTCCGCAAAAATCTTTAACCTTGTAAATAACATTTGAATTGGTGGGGTTATAGATTTTATATTTCCCAAGTGTATTTTTGTGACAAGACCTTTCTTTGGGTACCACCAAATTTGAAATAGTGACATTGACCTTGGATTTTGACACGCTTTTACCATAAATTAAAATTTTACCTTGGCCACAACTTTTAAATAGTTAGTCTTGATCTTTAAATTCATACTTCACATAATTATGTTATTCACTGTGACTATATACCTTTCAAATGGTATAAATATTTTTTTACCTTGACCTTGGAGTTTGACCAACTTTAAAAAACTTGGTTATAAATTTTGAACAGTTACTGTAAATCACTTTTATTCGTGAGAACTTTATTTTCGTTGAATTACGCGAGGGCATGTACTCGCTAAATTATCATTCTCGTTTTTTATTTTTCCTTAAGATAAGAGAGAGCAATAGCCAAAATCCGTGAAAATTTTGTCTCGCATCTAAGAGTCAAAGACAGTTTTGCGAAAATATGGTGATCTACAGTAGTATAAGGACTTTCGAATTTCACAGATGTATTCTTTGTGACAAGACTTCCTTTGGATATCAACAACTTGGACCTTTTAGCTTTTAACTTGTACATGTAGTTTAACTTGCATTTGAGAAACTTCAACCCTCGCTATAAGCTACCATGCAGGGGTATCAGTGTTTCTCAAACACATCTTGTTCTATCAATTTATGTATAAAAGTATAATTGTTGTAAAGCTAAATTTCTACCAATCCCACATAATTCGATTTTACATCTTTATACAGATGGGTTCTATTCAAAACCTCTACATAAATAATGCTTCCATTTGATAATTTAAAAATTTCTCCTAGTTCCATTGGTTGAATTAAACGCTCTTCTACATGTATTTCCGGGGAGCATGACCAGTCTTTTTGCAATAACGTCCTTCGTCCTAAATATTGATCCTCGCAGGTAACCCGGACAAAGTTTTTGGTGCGTTTGGTACAAACATTTCTACCAGCCTGTATGGTCAAATCGACGATTATCCTAAACCAACCCGGATTTCCTATGACAATTGTTGTTTTTAATTGTTCATATATATCATTCACTTTAATCAGTGGCAGTGTTCCAAAGTCATCTGAAATTAAATAGGATATTTATTTTTAGTTACCCAAGAAATACACATAAAGGAAGCCAGCTTTAAAATAGTGATTGCTTGCCCTCTCCTCACCCAGGATGAAAAAAATGGGTCTTAAGTTAAAGGGGATTATAATTCTCTTGAAATTTTCGACTTCACCGCTGGTTTTTCAAAATATTTTCTCCGTAATGCATAAAAAAAATTGTGTCCTAGAAGTTGAATAAGGTTTCAGTTGGGTCATTTTAATTAGTCGGTTGAAAGAAGGCAAGAGCACATTAAAAAAAAAATCACATAAAAGATACATTGAATTGTGATTGTTATTATTTTATATACATACGTTTGTCTTTAGATAAATTTAGGTCAACATAATACGAATTAAAGGAGAATTTCCTTTTCTTTAAGAACTTTCCAGCTGTTAATATCTAAAATAAAAAAATCAAATGTGTTTATATAAATAATTGCCCACTGCATAACGGGAAAAAAATCATAAAAAAGCAGTACAAAATAAGAGAATAAGAAAGAATTATTAATAATAAAAATTTCTTACCTCTTTAGCAAGCAATTCCAAGGAGAGCTCAATATTCCTACAAAAGAACTCATTCTTTCCAAATAGAACTCTTATCACCTCTCTCTGACATGAAACGCATTTTCTAGTTATGCAAATGACTGAAGAAGAATTGGTCTGCTGAAGCTTTTGGGATAAAAAATTGGGTTGTCCCTTTTCAAACACAGGCTTAGTCCAGACTTCTGTTTGTTGAGTTTTGTAAAATGTTAAGAGGGTCCATGTGATGAGACCAACGAAAATCAAATGAAACACAATGGAGACCAGTAAACACAACTTTAACCATACCCCTCTGCACAATTTTCTACCAGATACGCTTGGTACGACAATTGTATGGTTTTGTATTTCATTTAACGCACCTACAGGGTAGATTGAAACTGGATTGTGCACTTGCACGTTAGTGGGATAGCTGTATGGGGTAGAAAAGTAGCTTGATGTCATGCTGAAATTTTAACCTTGTTACTTTCCTTAACAAAAGTCACATAGAATAGTTTTCTGTATGGAAATGTTTATATACTAGTATGTTCAAATACTGTGGGGTTTCCTATTTTTTTAGACTATGGTTTTCACTGTGAACAAAAATGTCCCAAAAAAAAAAAACAAAACAATGACGTGCATATTTTTATGCATACTAATTATATTGATATGATAAACATGAAATGCATTATAAAGATATGATATGATTTGAAAAAAAGGAAATATTTCATTCTATGAATTCATACACCAGCACATTTACAGTATTTCTTCCTCGTAAAAAAAATAATGCTATTATAATATCTTACAAGTACATGTACACGTAGTAGCAATGTTGAGAATTAACTAATTTGAATTAGATTATTTGTTAACTCTTATTCTCCAAATAATTTTGCAATTCTATTATTTGAGAGAGAATTAGTTAATGCAAAATACGTGCATATATAATTATCAAAAGATAATTTTATCTACTAGTATTTTCTCTTTACTTCATTTAAAGTTTCTTTGTCTTTTTTTTCAATTTTCCATGTAAAAATATAACTGATTATAAGTAATGAATTTCATAAAGTAGTTATCTTTTTTGTCTTCCTCTTTCGAGAAAGCGATGGGACATTTAATATACTCCGTCTGTCAGTCCGTCCGTGTGTCACAAAGACTTTAAATTTGGTCATACATGTAGCTTTCAAATGAAAAGAGATAAGGGTTTTTATATTACACAGTCATGTGAACTACCTGTGACAAGATATTTTCATATTTACTTTGATTTTTGACCCCTTGATCTTGAGGTTTTAGCAACTTTTCAAAACTTTAAACATTACAGTAACATTATATATGCCATAACCTTTAAAAGAGACAATTCAGGGATTTCATGTTAAACATGAGTATTGCCTGTGGCAAGAATACACTATGAATTTGTCCCCGTGGCCTTGACCTTGAAGTTTGACTTTTCAAAAATGTTATCTACCTTATTTCTTTTGATAGAGAAGATATGGGGCTTTCTTATTACACATGTGCATTGCCAGTAACAAGATGTTTCCGAGCATGCTTGACTTTCTTTCTCCTTCACCTTGATGTTTGACTTAATTTAAAAAAAAATAACTTTGGTAATTCTTTGGAATGGCATATGACAGAGCGTTCATATTTGACACAATATACCATACATATAATTATTTACATTACACATGTTTTGTGCATATAAAGTGAATGGAAATTTATTGCATTTAAAACACCATAACACGCAGAGGCCTAGGTTTCAAAAGGTTAAAGCACGCGTTTTATTTTGACTTCACAGTCGTTGAACGCCAATGAAATACAACGTCATACGCGAAAGTCAAAATTCACGCTCGCATTGATCAGAAGCTGTTACGTTGGCTCTTCTATTCACTGTAGCTTTCATTATGCATAATACAAAGGTTTTTAAATATAAATCACATTTGCAGTCAAGGTAGAGAGCGAAAAATGAAAATATAAGAAAAGAATTCTTATTTTTTGAAAGATAGTATCATAACTGCAACGGTAATTGCAAACAAATTTTCATAACACGCGTTATTAAGTTTTTTTGCACACACCGTTGCAGTTTATTTGAAACTATATCTTTCAAAAAATAGGAGTTCCTTGCATAATTAATGTCATCCTATCAACTAAGTTTTATTTTTCTGTAAAGTTATTCTAAACATCTGGCTACAGGAAAATGTTATAACTAGTACGTAAGACCTCCTTTAAAATGACGTTTTCTTGTTCTCTCCCAGCTAGGGCTAAAATTATTGGGTCGGTAGGTAAGTAGGGAAATCTTTTCTCCAGAAAATTTCAATATATTTGTTGACGAGATATTAAGAGGGGAAAAAGAAGAAAAGTTTGTGAGGCAATGTTCACAAGTAATACTCTCGCTCTGATGTGAACATACAGTATCATGTAAATATACAAGTTAAGTTACGGGCAGATACACAGATAAAGAGGAAGTTGACATAAGATTCATATAAAAATAAATACAACCATATTGCATGCCTCAACTAAGGATGTGCTAGAATTTCAAGCATCTGCGATGAGAAGTTGTTGAGAAACTGCGACGAAAATTTGTTATGTACGAAACGGATCCGGACAGATGCGCGGATAACAGGAAGTTTACATCCTATTTTAACAAAAATGAACCCCACTATATGGCATGCCTCAGAAAAGATTGTGTTCAAATTTCAAGCATCTGCAATGAATAGTTGCTTAGAAAACTGCGACCGAAATTTGTTACGGAGATACACGCGGGCGCACACACAATTTAATGGAATACTGTAAAACAACTTTTATTCGCGTGCGAGAATTTTTCGCGAAGTTCGCGAGAGCCTCGTAATTGCGAATATTTCTCGCCGCGAACCTTTCCTGAAAGTCTCTGTGTCCATTAACAACAGATTTTTAAAAAAATCTTAATCGCGAAAATTAATCGTCGCGAAGTAGTTAACCCCTGGTAAATTGCAAAATAAAGCCGTCGCGAATGAAAGTTGGTTAATAAATACGGTATTTTTTATTAACAGGAAAAAGGTCAAAGGCACATAAAGGATGTTTATGTAGCACTGTGCGAGGTTTGTCCGGAAAAATTGTGTACAAAGCGATTTTCTCTAGAATAATGGACGCACTAAGTTGAAATTTTCAGTGAATGTCTATTCATCATATATAAGGGCATCATAACTTTTGGATGAAATATAGACAAAAATAAAGATTGTATTGTGCTTGAATGTGCACCGGGTACGGTCCCACGACGCACGGTCAAAAAACGAAGGTTTTATTCTAGAGTATATAAAGAAAGATCGATTGAATGATTGCAATTGTATATTCAATTTGTTTAACGTCCCTCTCGAGACTTTTTCACTCATGTGGAGACGCCACCACTTACCGGTGGAGAGCTGAAAGTTTTGTCCAATACTCGGCTCTCAAGACCATTAAGCAGGGAGGGATCTTTATTGTGGCAGTACCTACTGCAACACGGGATCTCGGTTTAAACGGTCTCATCCGAAGGACCGGAATCCACGTCCCACAGTGGGCTTCGAACCCACGACGTATGGATCAAACTTCTTGCTCCGCGACTATAGAGTAGACGCTCTAAGCACTGCTCCACGCGGGCGACATATAACGAAAGAAAACATGCATACAGGTATCTTTAAAAGTCTAAAAATGGTAAATAAAGTTTATGGAAATTAAGTCCTCATATTTTTGGGATCAAAATGCGCGTGTACATGCTTGACATTGCGATACATCTGTTCTTCTGACATGATGCTTCCTAGAGTGTAGGCAAAGGTCAATGTTTCCCCCACACAATTTATGTTTATGGAATATGCAATAGTTTCGAACTAAATATTTCCGAATTTGAAAAAGTAAACAATAAAAAGCGCAATTATTCTCTCTATTTTAAAAGTTAAATCACTTGATTTCAGGAAATACATACTTTGGCCATGCGTTAAACACTTGAAAGCAATATTTATATACAAATTAAGTTCTATTCATTACATTGATTTTATTTTGGTTTAAATAGGAGCAGGTCGTGTTTACGCCACAAGTTTATTTTGAGATGGATTATATGTGGGTTTATGATTGAAAACCTGAATTGTATCAAACAACGAACAATACAAATGTGCTAAAGATCTGCATTGACCTCCTGAACTAGTTGATTTAATGGAATTAAAACATGCAAGTTATCGTTTCTAATTTCTAACAATTAAATTATAAATCATTCAATTTTTAATTTTCCCAAGGCAATGGGATGGGAGTGCCTTAGCAATGAAATAACTCCCTATGGCCCCGTCGTCCTTTTTTAAAACGCAACCCCTTCTCACCCCACTCTAGATCGTATATGTTCTTTTTTCTTCAAGCGGAGAATACAGCATTAGCTTGTTGGACTTTTAATTCAAAGTGTTCAATACTAGTATGTCATGATTTATTACAAACGTCTTGTAAAACAAACTATTATGTAGTAATTACAATGCTTTTTTTAAATAAAGAATAAGATTAAAATCATTATTTTTGTCTTAATCTAAAATAATTTGACAAAAAATATATCAGAAGAATAGATTTCAAAAAAGTTATTATGAAAATAATGATATGGAGAAGTGCAGTTACATGTACTAGCTTTTCCTACTGCAATTTGATTGCAAAGCGGTTTGTCAAGTATCCTGCTTTGGTACAACGCAAGATGTAATAAACCGGGATTATTTCATTTTGCGTTTTTCATTTTGCGTAGAAATCAAAGCAGAATGTAATACCGCAAAGTGCAACAGCACACCTTTTAGGATTATTACATTTTGCGTCCAGTTCAAACGCAAAATGTAGTAACACAAAATGCAATAACACGATTTTTGAATTATTACATTTTGTGTTGTTACATTTTGCATCGAGATTAAGCAAAATACAAGAACGCAAAATGTAATAACACATTTTTTCAGTAAGGTTGAGTATAACTTTCAATTACATAGTGCGCGAAGAAAAGAAATGCAAAAGAAGAACAAAACAAAAGGGTAAACAATTATGCTAATTCTTAAAATAGATATGATTTTTTATCTCTTGGTTTCATTAGCTATATTTATCTAAATCAGTTAAATATTCAAATCAAAGCTGTTGCAAATTAGACACCTGCGTGTGGGAACGGGTTATTGTTGTTGGGGTGGTACATTTTGTTGTCCAGTGTGCCTTTGCTACTTGATTGACAAATGCAATGAATAAAAATCTTTTAATTTGTAAATATATAGCATAGCAAGGAGGGTGGTTTATTGACAATTATGATTCCTTGCTGTTTTGAAAACTCTCTCTCTCTTTCTCTCTCCAATGATAAAATGGGTTATTTCTGCTTATCCATAGTAATACAATGATCAACATACGAAGTATACACCAGACCCCATCCCTGATCCTCCTCTCTAGACACTCACATTTACCCTTCTAATTTGCTAACCAATGCGCACTTGCTGAATATCTATATCAAGAGTTTTTAATGGTCCTG